GATGAATTCTCATTAATGTGACGTAATTGCTTATAAATTTGTGCGTGAATAGACAGAAGACTGAGAAGTAACAGGCGAAACTGGAAGACAACTGAAAAACCGAGTTTTTATGATGAAAACTGATAAAACTATAAATTCGGCCCTCTCGATAGTTGACAAAAATTCAAAGCGTAGAAATTCAGTTTCTCAATTGAGTAAAGCATAAAATTGACCCATAAAAAAGCGGCAAAAATTGTGGAAACGTGGCACTGTCACTCCTTCCGACAACTTTTACTCTGGCAGAAGAATCAATTTGCTATACACAAAACAATATGCTGGCATAAAAAACACCTCAGACCTGCACTCGACTGAGAACCTCATTTATACGCTTTAAACAGATACATTTTATATAGTGTCGTCATTCGTCTTTTACAATGTAGAAATAGCTACACACTCAATAAAGTCGCCTTTTGTCTAAAATACAACCTTAAAAAAACTTTCAACCTTTATAAGACCTTAATATATTTGCTTCGTTACTTAAGAAGTCAAAAAGTCCAACTGTACAGTGTTCAAATAGCTATTTCTGAAGCGAGTCTTCGGGATAGTTAATTTTGAGATAACCAATCAACTTTTTTGCTCCTGGGCTCAAAACAACTCTCCATTGAAATTCAATATTTACTGTCATTGTTTAAACCACTGTTGTGCACTGAAGAAAATCTAATTCACTGTAGGGAAATATGATTGTTCGAAACGGCAATTATTTATTCACTATGTGCAGGTCTTTATCACAGCAAAGCGCCAGATTTGCTATTTAATAGACACAATAATTATCTCACAGGTTTATGATTTATGACAAGAAGGTTTGGAGCCGACAGCTTTTACCAGCTTTTCACAGTATTCTCCACATTATTACCAAATCCCATTGTGATTTTAGACCACGTAACAGGCCGATAAATTTCTATGCATTGAGCTTAACGGGACTTCTTTGTTTCATTGTCTATGTAATGGAAAGTTTTTATTGTGCCTCCAGTTGAATTTAATGTGTAGATTACATTCGAGAGCTGGCATTTGCTATTTATATAAATTTTGCTCTGGTAATTAGGAGCTCAGAGCAGTAAATGACGAAATTGATTCAAATGACTATCATACAAATATTTTACTGGATGTGATTTATAGTTGGGAGAATTAACCAGTACCTCCATGGTTTTAATTACGTGTGAAACAATGCGGCGGGTCAAACTGATCAGCAAATTGAATCAAAGAGGAATCCATTTTCCTTTCACATCTTCCTTTATTTCATTAACCGGTATCTATAAGAACTAACAAAAAATTCCACAAATAATTTTTGCGTAATTTTAAGTCTCTCATTCAAATATGCGCATAATAAGACGTTCGCCAGGAGCTTACTTTCCCCTGAACAGCAGAAACAAGGTCTTTTATTCCCTCTCAAGCTTCGTTATGGTTACAAGGTAAATACAGCCCTCGAGGGTTCTAATCTATTTTTAACTCTTTAAAGTTTTATCTTAAGAAAGCAGAAGGATTGTATTATCTTTTTAAATTAAGCGGAATAATGGGTATTAAACAGCCAAAAATACATTAAACATCTCAATGTCGCTACATTATCAGGAACTTATAAGTAAACTTTGTTGAAAACTAATCATCAGCGAAGTAAAAAAATATCTAATAAATGTTGCTTTAATGGTATTTCGAAGTGCTGCTGAAGATAAGTTCAGATATTGTGTGAAGCAAACAGATTTCACGTAAATTAAGTCAGTCTGAAATTATGCAAAACTGTCGAGGGGTTTATTTGAGAAATTGTATCAACAGCCACAGGCACCAGGTCAAGATTGAGACAAATTGTTGGGGCTTGATATACCAACAATGAATAATTCATATTTGCAATATTGGAATATGGACTAAGATGATTAAAACTGGAGTGGAACACAGTAATAGCTAGATTAACATGCTTTCAACTGGCTAATTGCAATTTAAATTATTTGGCAAACATCGAATATTGCAATTGTCATAGAAATCGGGATAAATACCGAAACAATCAACCAGGAGAAATCAAATCGCGAACTAAATGCAAACTCCTCTCATTCATTCAATTAGTGCTGCTATGAAAAAAGACGTAGAACTATTATGTATCCTGAATGGCCAAAACTGGTACGAATATGAAATCTTTTGGTCGTACACAAATATTGTACTTGGCGAAAATGTCCCCACTGTTCTAGAGGAAGAACAAAAAGGTGTTTAATTTAAAAAGAACACTAGTTTTATTTGTGTTAGTGTTGATTTGCAGAAGGTCTTCAAAACTTTTCATGACAACAATATGCTATTATCCTATGCACATAAGTACTATTACTAATCTGGACTAAAATGTTTACTGCTTATAGGGGAAAATATTTAGCAGTGAAATATTGACGACTTGACAGAAGATGGCGAAATAGTATGAAGCAAGAAACTGCAACCAAAGGAAAGAAATCTGGAAAAGGCAAATCTACAATAAAAGCAACAACAAAGGGTGTTAAAAAAATAACAAAATATATAAAAACATTTTTCGACAATAGGTAAATACTTTTTTAACATAATTTGATTCTACTAACAAATTTTTAATAATATTATTAGTATGACTAGCTATCTTCATTTATGTAATTACATTTTTCTCCAAAAGGCAAACTTTAAAGAAAATTGTCAACATTCAATCGTTTTCTGTAAAATTTGCACATTAACGGATACGCCAGTTAACCTATGACTTGTCGATATATTAAAATATGTTGTATTATTTTTCACGCCCACGCTCTAGTGGCTTTTGCCGTTTGCATCCCCCACGATAAAATCTGATCAGCTTATTATTATTCCATTAATGTATAGTCGATTTGTTAGGGATATTAATATTTATGATTTACCATTTCCTTCCTAAGGGTATTGTTGAAATAGATAATCGATAATCGTCTCGGTAATGATATTACCGTGGTAAAAATGATTAAGTTTTTTATAAATGCATGAGAAGTGAGCTAAAAAGTTACTCAATCCGTAGTCATCCGTTTGGTTTGAACACCTAGTATCAAAGCAAATTTTCTTAAAATAGTCGGGAACGAATACGTGTACATCAGCATAAAACACGTTTTCCTAAAATTATAAAAAGCATTGGTAAAATGCAATCAGTATCCTGTACATAACGAAAATTTCATTAGTCAGTAATAAATAAATTGCATTTAGGTGACGTTTAATTAAAAAGGCAAATTTGTTATTTAAATGTCAAATAGCACTATTAATAAAATAATTCGGACTTTATGGAACATTGGGATTTTATTTTATTTTTTTATGACATATTACGAAGGTTCGTACAGCAATCATATTTGTAATTTATCCGCTATGAATGCGCATGTGGTTGGTTTAAATTTGCCAAATTTGTCATTCAATTATTTTGCGTTTAACTATCCTCTTAACTTCGTTTCCTTAAAACTTAATCTGATTTCCCAACATTCTTATTAATCTGGTCGATTTAAGAACCTGAATTAAGGTATTTACAGGACGTACTACCAATTTTTGGCAACCAGCTTTGATTTGCTAGTGGGGAAATTAAATATTATTAAGCAAACTTAAAAGCGCTTTAACATCCGAACCTATTATAACGCAGTTATTTCCCGTTCGTTACACGTCATGTTAAGAACTCGCATTTTAATATGATTTTATACAGTAATTTCTAACATTTCTTATAAAGTGCTTGCAACTTCATTCATCTCAGCTCATTTAAAACAATTTTAACAGTAAATTACTGTTAATAGGTTAAACAAGCAACGATAAGGCGAACTAAATCACATTCATAACTTTCCTAATGAAGTCTGCATTTTAAGTCAGCACAAGACTTTTGATTTCCGTTGCAACTTTTTCCATTTCCGTTCCAGATAAGGTAACTCTAATTCAATTAAAGCAACTTCCGCCAAACTCCGATAAATTACCGTCTGTGGAACTGAATTCGTTGTTTTCTTTACGAATGAATTGGTTTTAGTTTTTCGCGTCCAGTTAATACCTTGTGTGATAAAGTTTCAGAATAGTTTTAACTATATTTAATATACGAATATTATCTAGCATCATGATTTACAAGATATATAAAAGTAACTAAACTGTCATTCGCCATTCAATACTTTAATATTTTTTTTCCAAAATAACTCATAACGCATTTAACGAAATTAAATTTAATGCTTCATTCAGGTTGAAACATATGCTGCCAATATTAAAAACATCTGAAGTCTTGATTGTTGTCAAGATTGGTAAATCTGCCTACAAAATTATATCATACAGCCCCATTTTCATCTTGACTAATAGCTTTCTCAATAAGTATTACCGAAAATACTAAAACCAATAATAGAGAAGATGAAAATAATAGCCGTCCATCAATTTGAGTTCCTATCATATCATTCATCAATTGAACAAGCGCACCGAATAACTTATGTGATTGAAAAATCATTAGAAAGGAGGATGGTTTGGCGGCCGTACTTCTCAATGTAGCAGAAGTATTTGAAAAAATATGGCACGACTGTGGGTCTATAAAGAAGCAAAATGTTACTCTAAACGTACGTAGTAATCTGTTGCTAATTATGTACGATCTTCAGAATTAAGCAAGAAAAAGCTTAATCAGAGAATAAGAACAAGAAATTAATGCAGGTGGGCAAGAGGAAGCCTCATAGTGTCATAGTTTACTTTGTCCGATTTCGTGATGATGATTGATGTCCGTTTCATAATTTAATGAAGTGCCTATAGTAACAAAAGCCGATAACGTAGCATTAATGACAGCTTAATAAAATTTCAGTAGTCTCCACACAAAAACTAAAGAAAAAAAGACATTGCTGCTTATAAATTGAACACTGTCGTTTTTCCATACGTAAAACTGAAGCAGAACAAAATAGATTATTATTATCTTTACCATAAAACAATTGACAGCTTTTTCCATGGTATAAATCAGTGAAAAAACAACCCAATTTATCAATGAAAACTAAACTGGACTGTTTACTCACTGGGTATTCTGTTGATGGCTCGCAAAGGTCTAAGTACCCGAATGGTTCTAACAGCCGACAGATTGATGTTGTTGAAGTTGGGAAGTCCATACTCCACTGCTCCAGCCAATACGATGAACATATCCAGCCTGTTCCAGGGATCTGCCAAATAAGATCCTTTCCCATAAACATCCATGGCAATCATCTTAATTGTCATTTCCAATGTAAAAAATGCAAATATGAACTCGTCGAACCTCTGCAAAACAAAATTGCTTTATAGTGTAGGTACTTTAAACTTGAACCAAAAAGTCAACAAAAATAATTTGATTGTAATTATAATAATATATATTAGTAAATGAAATTTGTCAACTGAAATAAATATATTACTGTTTTGAATAAGAAAACTCTTATTGTATGTTCAAATTTAGCGAGAGTAAGTAATTGAAACAGCCTATAGCTGCAGAATATTTAAAAGTAATATAAAAGAAGTCAAAACATATTTGAAACCACGTCCAACGTAGAACATGAGACGGGAAGTAAAATTAGACATGCACTGCTTCCGGAATTGCTGTGAACAAAAAAATATTTGGATGTCAACAAAGTTTTTGTAATTTATGCACGACATCCGGAATTCCCCTTGAGCTGTCAGGGAAGCTTTAATAATTCACGTCTAAACCTTGTCAGTAATTACAAAAGATACGGTCGGAGAGTAAATGAGAATATAATTCGGTCTCTAAATTACGTAAGTGGTAAAACTAGAAACGTATAACTCGTTCAAATGTAATTAATGTTCTGATAACTTCTTAACACAATTACGGAACCTCATGTCAAAAACCACTCGTTTTACAGCAAAGAGCTTCAGAATTTAAGAACATGAGATCATGAATCAAGCTCATGAAAATTATTTTATAAGCAACTTACAATGAGAGCCGTTCTGCCAAAACCTCTGAAATGAAACAAGTATTTTTCGTTTCAGCAGTCCATACAGTGTGTCTCAGTTGAGATGAAAACAGCTTTGCACAGTATTTATTTTTAAAAGTAGAGTTTTCAATTTTGGTTCAGAGGTAGAATGTCATCAGTCTAATTATTTTGGCTACCCATTTCTTACTTCAGATTCTCGAAGTCTTGATAAAGGCCACAAAATCCAAGATAATTAAATTACAATTTTTTTAGCAACTGAACAATTTTTATTCTCAAAATAAAAATATACCTTTAATTATGAAATACATATTTTTGAATTTACCTGCAAGATCCTGCATCTGTTGGTAACACACGGGTCCTTGTCGACACAGGGTTGGTACATGCCCAATGTGATACAGTTGAGGAGGATGACCATCATAGAAATTCGTTCAAACCATGTGTTTTATAGTTAAGGAAATTTTTAGATAATTTGTTGAAAGTTACGTAGCAATAACTAAAAGCCCATTGACTCTAATTTCTATTTTTAAATTGTCATTAATGAGTAAACACATGTTCCTAAAAACTTATGTTGCTTTTACTCATGCAACTTTTTACAGGTTATTGAAAATTGAGACTTTCAAGTGAATAGTCCAAGCGATGTTCATTTCGGCAATTTGTCATCTGCAACTCTGAAAAGAAAAACCGCAAATTAGTCGACCGAATATGTCGATAAAGGTAATGTAATGTGAACATCTCTGCAATATTTTGGATATCTGCTAATTTATATACATTAAATTAATAGAAAATTGAACAAAAACTGTGAAACTGATAACTGTGAAAAAACTGATAAACTGAATCAACGAATATTTATAAAATACTTTTTAATAAATGTCTATCTGAATCCATCCGTGGCGCCCTGTATTTCTGCCTTCCGAGAGTTTATGAAGTAGATAGTTTTCCCACATTCAGGTATCTTAACGACAGTGTTATACTAAAAATTTGCCAAAAGCATTCGTTTCATATTTATCTCGTACTCATCAAATCTTAAAGCATTGTTCTCCTGCAGAATTATCTAGCATTTGCTTCAAACTCGAAACTCTGCCTCATCTACCGGATATATTTATACTTATCAGGCATAGCATGTTTTATAAAGAAGTGTGAGTCATATTCGGCGAAATTATGTGCAGCCATTTAAGAATTAAATGACGATTTGCCCGACTACATTAATTAGAAAACATTTAAATTAATTAGACAATTATCATTAATTGAATTTATATTTTGAATAGCTCAATTTGAAAGCAAAGATCAACAAATCTTTGTGATTTAATAGCAAAATTACAATACTTCTATTTCGTTTACAGTAGCTTCATTCAAGTCGGTTGCTAACAGCAAAAATGTTTTTAAACCATATTCGGAATCAGCTTTTTTGATCCCAACTGTTCCCTACATGATCTTAGAAAGTGGTTTCAATTATCTATTATTACGTTCGTGAATCGTGCCAGGCAAAAATTATCTTGCTCTTGCCTGGGGATTAATTGGCAGATATATTCAAAGGTTTTATTTCGTGCAGTTGCTCAATTAACGTACACTTATTTCAGTTAGCCCTGTTAAAGCACGAAAAGAAGTAAATACAATTTCTATATATTCAATGTTTGGAATTATTAGGGCAGATGTATACATATACAAAGCGAAATTTTATTACATACATAAGACTCGCTCACTCCAAAGATAAACGATTGGAAATAACTGCAGTTGTAAAATACCTTTCCCGGTAATATCGAAAAGCACCTTTCAGAATTCCCGATGCTGTTCATTTCTGCAGAACTATTAGACCGTAAAATAAACTCTCTAAGGGTTACTCAGACGGTAAAGCAAAATTTCGCCAAATTCAGGCCATCAATTGTCACGCCTATCGTGCCAATAAACCAGCTTGTTTGCCTGATCTCTTAATACCGTTTGAACGGAAGGAAACCGCAAAATGTCAAGTGTAGCTAGATAGAGATGCTTAATTGGTTTTCATACGCTGCGGAAAATCTCTTATTGACTAGTGGGGAATAGATTACATATATTATCTTGAGTAGTAAGGCAATACGACTGGTACTTGCGGCTGACCTTTTGCACTTCAATTAGTTCAAAAAATCTCCGTTTTCGAATTTTGGAAGCATACCAAACTTTAGACACTCAGATGCTCTAACAAGACTACGAATGAATACTCAGTTCAATACAAATTTTGTTCGATATGAAAGGTTTTAGGTATAATTGCAAACCTAACAAAGCGACGTACTCTTATAAGCTTTGCTAACCAACAGGCCAACTGGAAATGCTTATTAGCATTTATGCTAGTCTTACTAGAGTATACAAACTCAAAGCAAATAGCAACTGTTTCAAACATTTGATTCGATAAAGGCCTTCAAAAATTTAAGTTGCGAACTTTCGTCTTGATGAAATCTGCTGAAATCCTTACTGGCAGCTTTCTAATAATGATGGACGCAAGCTGCAGAATGCTAATTGAAATACGTTGGAAAAGGTGTTTATCTGAAGAATGATATTTTTAACATTAAATTGATAATGAAAATAATTACAAATATATGATTTGAGTGGGAGTATTCGATATCATGATTCTTGTCGAATATATTTTAAAGTTGGACTAGGAACTGATTGAGCTTGTTGGGACTGCTCATTAAACTTTAGTGTTTACAAAATTGATCAACTTCAACCAGTTTAATCAGTAATTTTAATGTTATTTTATCCTGTTACAAAGTATCTTAATTTCTCAGGTTGAATAGCCCCCTTTTCCACGTGATTAAATTGACGTTTATTTACAATTTTACTTAAAATTTAATGTCTTTCTCGGCCCCCCTTGGAATAAATACACTCAATACCGCTCACACACCTACTTTCTGCCCATTTTCAAAAGATTCCCATAAGAAAACACAGGTAAGAGTCTGATGATCGTAAAGACCATTTAGCTTGTCACTACACTTTTATCCACGGTTTAATTTGATCGGTCCCATTTATTCTATGGTTCCAATTAAATTTAAAATAAAAAAATTCGTCTGTTCTGCGATATACTGATCTAATTTAGATTTTTTCTTTATTTGAATGCAATTGGCAAGGCTTTCTAGAAGAATGCGAAAACGAAAAAAAAGAATTAAATTGAGTCGAGATATTTTAGATAATCTGAACTGTTTTACATGCCTATAAAGTGATTCATTCATTAACATTCAGTACATTTCATGTTTTCGACACAATTTAGAAAAATACCTTCCAAGTTACATTTGTCACCAAATGCTTAAAGTATAAATAATTGTAAGTTCTGTTTCCATTATTACAGCACATTTCTGTTCTGCATGGTGAGAATATGCGATATGAAGTCGGGAGTTGAAAGAAAGCGTTCTGCACAAACAGGCAGACATGTAATTCAAATTTTGTGCTCGGTAATTGGCTTTAGACGGAAATAACTGAATCAGTAAATAAACCAATTATTTCATTTAGAGAAACCTATTAATTTCGGAAATATCCCAGCGCAAATTCCATTATAAATTTAAATAGTTCTCTTGATAGCGCAGCTACCTGTTATTAGTACCATAGGATATAAAATACAGACAACATTATGCCCCATGAACAATAAAATATGAATGCTTAACAGAACTTCGTGCCAACGGTTTATTTGCTGATAACAGTTTTAGAGCGTAGTAAATAACAATTGCGAAACACTGCAACATGCGTATGAATAAAGTTAAATGCAAACAAATATTAAGCAAATATTTTCAACTTCAAAAGAAATACGTAGACACGGTTAGTTCTAAGAAGCAAAGAAGCTAAAATCACTAATAAACTATGTCATTAAGCGGAAAAAACGTTTAGTTCGAGATGTCAGAGTGCCAAGAAATTTGCGGACTAAAACAAAAAACAAATGTCCAGGAGATTCAAGAGCCGAAATAATGGTAAACCCATATTAACGACGCAATAATCTTCAAGAAATAATATACAACCTTAAGAAATGGGACGAGGACCAGATGGCGCGACAAGAAAAAGCAATATTGCTTAAATGATAGTTCGAAGACAGACAAAAAATTTAAAACCACAGAAGATGTTGCATGATGTTCTACAAAAATCAATTTTTTTTCGTTTGGCTGATGAAACAAAAAGTAGAGGTACAACTCCTTGCATTTAGATGATTTGCAACTTTTAGAAAATCTATACATATCCAACTATTGTAACCATCGGTTTTAAAAACGCACAGCAAGATCTTTCAAGATTATTAATGAGTACAGTTTCAGAAATGCTTTCACCGTTACTTTTATATAAATTAGGTAACATTCTGAACATTGCCAGACCAATTTTCCTAAAGGCTTTTCTAAGCATCTGAACCGACCGCACATTTCCAACCTCAACTTGCACACCAGATGATAAATGCCCCGGTTCAAGATGGCAGGATACGCGTGAAGGGACATATTATTCCGAGAAAATGAGGAAGGAAAAGTCATTGTAAGCTTTGTACTGCTAATTAATGAGCCAATTTTTTTAATTACCTATTTCATTCTTTGTTGGCCTTGTCAGTGTGGATTGGGAATAAGAAGTGAATTGACCTCGAGTGATTGAAATTATAACATCAACATCTTAGTAATAGGAGAGAAAGGTTAGTTAACGAATTTTGCCAGGAAACAATAACAGGTGTTCACTAATATAATTGCAATTGTTGTCGAAATGTTAATTTAATGATTTAATGCAGCAGCTTCTACATAAATTATTTGCCGTCCAGCTTTGCACTTTGGTCAATTTACGGTTATTAAGCATCCTGCTTTAGGCACTTTATACCACAGGATCAGCTTCAAGAGATTTATTGGATCAAGCTGGAACATATCTCAGTTGAATATTAAAGCAAGGGTGTTGAAAGTTCTCCACAGGCTGCTAATAATTTACTGTAACTATAGGTCTTCTTGCATTGTTGCATAATTACCAATTTATAATACATTTCTTATCTGACCCTCTTCTATGTTGCGTTTCAGATCTACGTTGAGAGTGTAAGCCATACGGGAAGCTTTGTTCCCAGTTTCGTTATCAATTCTACATTTACTAGTTTAATAACAACGATCGGCGTCAGAGCTGTAAATGAATGAAGAGTGACGATAAGATTCCTTTAGTAGTGTATTTACCTGAAAAATAGTTTTTATTTACGACTTCAAGAAATTACGATTTGAAGATCCCGTTTCAAATACATCGTTTATTTGTATTCCAAATGGTCTACTATTTGAATAAATTGTCAAATATGAAAATTACAACAAGAGCGGAAATGAGGTATTAAATAGAATACCAAGTAAATTGTTTCGGACTAAGGCAGATTTGTGATAACTTACATTTTGTGGATGAAATAAAATGGATTGTAATAATTGAGTCTGTAATTTTCAAACGCGATTATTCGAAAACTCTGGACTGAAAGCAACAAAGTAATAACTAATGTAAAGAGAATTAAACGCACTTTAAAACGATGTGCTACTTGACTCCCCTTCCCATTTGAGATTCTAAGGTTGACATCTTCCCGTCCTAGGGGGTTGAAACAAGGAGGCTAAAATACTCATTTAAAGTGTCCCTCTCACAAACAAAATTTACGGGACTT